TCACTCTGAACGTCTTAACCCTAAATGTCTCACTTGGTGGAGGAAGTGTGAAGTCCTGTTTTGGATTGGATTTCCTTTGCATGCTGAACAAATTTAGTTATGAATAAAAATAGAGTTTACTCTCTTTTTTTTTGAAATACTAAAACACACTTTTCATTTCTTAATAAATGTATGAAATTGCCATTGCAAAGTACATGTAGAAAGCTATTAGAATTTTTCTTGTTGTGATGGTAAGCTTTAGGCTTGTTTAGAGCAATTGAATTTTTATTTACTGGTTGTGATTTATTTTTGATAGCGTGCTATATTGAAATTTGCAAGCCACACTGGAGCTACTCCTGTTGCTGGACGCTTCACTCCTGGTACGTTTACCAATCAGATCCAAGCAGCCTTCAGGGAACCACGGTTGCTAGTTGTGTGTGATCCACATACTGATCACCAGGTAACATCTTATTTTGTTGATCTCTTTTTATGATTGGCCATGTTTTGAGAGCCTTTAGACAAGCAGAACACAATAGATGTGAAAAATATGTCACCATATGAAACCAAAAATTAATTTTGAAGTACTTATCCACACAGTTTGCAGTAATTTGAGAATGATAACTGATTATTATATTCCAGTGCCTGAACAAATTTGCAGTTTCACATGCACCCTTGATGATGAAAACTTGGTGTAGATGTTGAATGTGTGTTTAGAAGGAAAAATATAGAATTCTGGAGAAAACAAATTGGCAGTCAAATTTCTGAAGAAAGCCTATTGCTAGACTTGAAAATAGGAGGTGTTGAGTTTTTAAGTTTGTCTGTTTTGTAACTATTTCTAAAGCTCTTTATAAGTAGCCATCCTCACCTCCGGACAGTACATGTAAGTTAGTAACAAAGTCTTCTGAATCAAGCCTTTGTTGTTGGCTTTCCTATACCCTAGGTCTGTTTTGGGGCTTCAAAGTAATGCTATCACTGACGATTCTCCCTTAAGTGCATTGTTTTTTAAGAGCTTTGTCACTTTTTTTCAGTCTGTAACAGAAGCATCCTATGTGAATATTCCAGTTATTGCATTCTGCAACACCGACTCTCGACTGCGCCATGTGGATGTAGCAATCCCTTGCAATAACAAAGGTGCACACTCTGTTGGTCTAATGTGGTGGATGCTGGCAAGGGAGGTGCTCCGCATGCGTGGCAGCATCAGCCGGCAGATTCCATGGGAAATTATGCCTGATCTCTACTTCTATAGGGATCCAGAAGAGGTGACAAAAAATTACTGTTTTTCCTTGACAAACACCCTTGAATAACTGTCCCTCCTCTAAATAAGCTTCCATCTAAACTGGAAAATTTTAATTGAAATGCACACCATGCCATAAAAAGTAGTCAAAGAGAAGAGGAGAGAAATTATCGATTTTGCAATCATAAAAGTTGGCAAGAGAAGACCTGGAATTCGAGTTGAGCATTTTGGTGTGTTTCAAGCAGTATTTTATCTGCCAGCTTGAAGGTTTCATATTTAGAACAAAAGTTTTCAATACGTTTTGGTAGTTTTCAAGGATATCCCTAATAAAACACCAAGGAAATTCATTTCACACTCAACACTGCTGCATTTGACTTTATATACATACATCCACAAGTAGAGAGTCCTCATTCGCGCATCTTCTATTTCCTTTTGTATTGGCAATATTGACGTGGTAACCTATCTGTGGACCCAGGATGAAGGGAAGTTGTCGCTTCTACATGCTTTATGCCTTAGAAAATGGACTTGAGCCCTTTTAGTGGTAGGCTAACTTTCTCTTATTTTGTTATCAGGCTGAGAAAGAAGAACAGGCTGCAATTCAACATCAAACTGAGGAGGCACAGCAGCCTACCAGTCATCTCACTGAGTGGGGTGGTGCAGTTGACCAGCAGACTGGCGAGGTGAGTGACACTGCTATCTCTCTGTTAAAGGGATCACTGAAGTACTTGGTAATTACAGAGGAAAGAAAATATTTCAAATCAAAGAAAACTGGTACTTGAGTTTTTAAATGGCAATTTTTGAAAAGCACTGTTGGAGGAGTGGTGGCCAAATGATTAGTTCAGGGTTAGGGCTTTGGCCAGGGTCATTGTGTTCTGTTCTTGGACAAAACCCTGCAGTCTAACTGTGCCTGTCTTCATCCAGGTGTATAAATACAGTGTAGGCACTAGTGAAAATAAATGCTGTGGATAACCCTGCAATGAACTGGCTTCTCATTCAGTGGAGATCAGAAATGTGCCTGATGTGCCACTAGACTCGAATGCAAACTTTCCCATCACTTTTGTCCATGATTCCCGGGAGATAATGGGCTGGAAATGCAGACTTTACCTTACCTTTGTTCCTGATCTGACACCTTCCTCTTCCAGTGGTACTACCAATACTTTTGTATGCTTTTGGTTCGACCTTGTTGAGCTGCGTCATTGCTGTACTTTGCAACGGCGATTAGCCGCGACAATATTATTATTATTATTATTTTATAGTCCTGTTCAAAGGGACACGTCTTAAAAATACTTGCTCACCCAATTCAGTGACTTCAGATTTTTCATCATGAGCCAGTAGTTACAAGGTGACTACTAGCTACACCGTAGTAACATGGGACAGCTATGGTGAAGTGTTGCTGAGGAAGCTTAGTAAGTTGTCAACACATGCACATCTTCTTGATGCAGTAGTCTATCCTTTCTTTTCATTAACTCATTGTGTTTGTTCTTATTTTTATATTCCACATTGTTTGGCCAGTCAAATCAACAGTGGGTTTCTAAAGAGGTATAAATGATCCATTTTTCATGCACCATCAAACCTTGTTACAGGAAACCAAGTTATGTTGCATGAAAACTCAGAAGCCCAACACCTTACAGTTACAAAAGAAATACACACTTCCCAAAGTAATATCCCCCCCCCCCCCCCCCCCCCCCCCC